GGTAAACATTATATTTCATTTTCTGATATCAGATTTATTCAGCGTATGGAGTCCATTTAAGAATCTGCGGTTCCTGCAGTGCATTGGACACAGGACCATATTGCTGAGTTTTGCTGAATAAGGGAGTGGCTTCGAACACAAACTAAATCCGCCTTTTTCTGCAGGCAAATATAGAAGCAGAAGATAACCGTGATATAGGGTAGCTAACCCACTGCAGCTTTTCGGAAAAGATTATTATTCATGACGGAATATGGCTGCTGCTGGAACACAGATATATGTGAATTTAACATGAACAGATCACAAATCACATATGTATGCGAATTAGATTATACATCACATCTGAAGGTGATTCATACCTGCTGCTTCATAGTTCGTATTCGTATTTGTATTTGATACACAGTTGAACTTTCTTAAAATTTTGGATTTATCTGGCTTTATTGTATAATATCATCCACTGTAATAATTTTTTCAGCTGAGGTACTCTTCTGTATTCCAGAGTCTTAAAGCTTTCTTTCTTTAAGAAATCTTCATCGTTTTCGATTGCTCTGCCATCGCAGTTCATTCAATTTTCAGCGTTACAAACAAGTGTTGCTCCGATGGTGCGTGATTACTGTATCCGTTTTAATTCCCTGTCGTAAAATTGAATTTGCAACTATAATGGCTTGTGGAACATCCAGAGAATTTTGAATGTATCCGAAGATGGCGTCTTTGCTACTGCGTTGGTAGTCGTTCTGAACAATAGTGTAAATATGATTTTTTGCGCACAGCGCTAAGTGGTCAGTCAGAAGATTGACCATGCCTACGATTGGCAGGGAAACCTGGCTCACGGGTTTTTTGAAGATTAAGATGTAATTAAAGTTCATAGCCGATATACCTTACAATCTGCTGCGAACATTAGCTCAGTATTCACCTTCAAAAAAGTTAGTGAGACACGGCCTGTATCATCGGTATCGATGAATATTCCGATCAACAAAGTTTTGAGCTGTGCATAAATATGCCGTTATATTTTCATTCAGGTATATAATCATTATTTAAAACTGATTCATTAATTTATAAACTAGAATTATACTGTTAACTTTTATTGAGAGAGAGAGAGAAAGTAGCTTAATAGAAAATAAAGACATCAACGTACAGAGAACCGAAGAGAAATTGTAATTGCAGCTTTGGAGTAATGCCGAATAATGGTAAGCGTACGTATATGTCATTTTATATGATTCTGTCGTATCCAGGTCTTACTGCTTCAGTAATAATGCACAGTTTCAAGTCTCAATGTAATAATCAAGGCACTGAAATCCTGATCGATGACTAATCCGTTTTTCATAAATCATGAGAGAAGCTGCTGAATTCTTTCTCAGTCGCGTTCACTTGCTGCTGCACATGCAGTTTCTTACGGCCGTCTGTTACCGACGTAAGTTGGTAATATATGAATTATTCTGAAGTATTTCAAAGGCGTTGTGACTGGGTTCTAGAACAGTAATTCCCCGGACAACCCCTCCCCCCGATCCTGTGGGCAGAAACCGTATTTTAACCTATGGAATTTGTAAAATCGAATAAAGAAAAAGAGAATGAGAGGAAGAGGATAAATAATTATTCTTATGGTCCAGACCTGCTCAGAAATTAATTCTCACAAGTGT